ATTCTGTTATTTTGTTTTAACAAAACTATGTTATTTCTGTACATCTGATAAATTTATTTAAAATAACGTCAAAAAAATAAGATTTTGCCTGAATTGAAGGGGTCAAATAAGGACAAGTGGAAAAATAGCTACCTACTGAGACGATGAATGAACTGTTTCAATATCATATGGAAAGAAACAGGGATCAATGAACAGATTATCACCTGATATTATTATAAAGAGTCATCTGAGAAATGAAAAGATTAATAAACTTAATAGAATATTAGTATATAGGGAACGATTTGGGTTGCGTTTGTTAACAGAAGCACGATATTATAAATGAAAGTGTAATTCTGAGTCAAGAGGTTTTATCTCGATGTATCCATGATCTTGTTGAAAACTATAATTAATGTTTAGTTGTTAAGGGGGAACACTTTCATCTTCATAGTAAACAACATCCAGATATTACTTTCATCCGACCTACAGAGACATTTTAACCCAATATTTTCATCGCCGATTGTTTCTCTAGATTCCTATGTTTTGCTCCTTTCCTTTAGTCAACTTATTTACTTAGATATCGGATTCCTCCACGTAAGCATCCGGTGTTAACAATTCGAGTTAACAAAGTCGGATTTCCGGTTTCGCAAGGTTGCACCACATATTTGAGTTTCCGATATTCACATTTTGTCAAACCAACTTATAGGCCTCATTAGTTGAAAAACAGACACTTTCAAGTGAAATCCCAATTGATATTTATCTGTAATATCCTCAGTTGAATGAGCTTGTAACATTTTCGAAAGGTCAAGATACGTGTCTGTTCTTTGGATTCCAAACTGGCTACAGCTTAAACTTAGAGGTCAGTTTTGTTGAATATTACTCAACCTTATCAGAAAAGCCCAGCACTCAAACTTAGTAATTTATGCAGGAAGCTTTAACGCCTAAATATGGCAGTCCAAGTCAAGTGAATATTCAAGTGATGATTTGACATTCCATCCCAATGAATAGATCATAATAACTCCCACTGGCACCCCGACCCGACCTAAGGGCTCCTCGTGTCGCTGCTGGGTAGTAGGGGGAGCCTTGCCAGCCAACTTAGGCGGTCAACGGAGAACAAACTGATTACCCACTCTATTGTATCTTTGATCAACTTGAGGCTCATATAACCGCACTGAGCCATTTGATTTGTATGCTTATATACAAGGATTGCAGAAGTCTTCGGGCTTATGTAGTTCATATATGTAGGTGTATTCAAAAGGGATGTGTGTGGTGTCGTACGAAGGAAACGCCAGGTGAAATATTGTCTGTCCTATGTCTAATAGAATAAGCAGTCAGTCAGTCAGTAACAACGTAGAACTTCGTACGTACATACATCAGTTCGAGTTGCCATACCACATTAGCACAAAGATGCAGTGGTCGATTCAAATCCCATAGTGGTAGAGGTAATAAGAGTATAAGCAGTAATCGGAAAGATTAGTGTTTGGAGATGTTACTTAAAGAGTTTAATACAGTGAAATAAACTTGGGAAGACAAAAAAAAGAGACAAGGGGGAATCAGGAGATCAAAATTTGGGAGAACACAAAGAGTGGATGCACCTGCGCCATTGCAAACGTTTTTGAGCCATGTCATTCAAAGTCTCTAACCATCGGTTGCTATCATCTCGCGGTCCCCAACCAGGTAGTCTACACCTACCGACATGACTCAGTCCACTTGTCAGTGACTTCACGGATTTGTGCCATGTTTTGGTCTGGCCGCCCCTAACTTTCTTGCAACTTTTGTCCTTTCTTATAGACTGGCACAATCAGTGATTGATACCAGTCAGATGGGATTACGTCCAGTTCCCAAATTCTATCTAAGACCTCAGTTAATCTCACTGCTAATACTGGACCACCATCCTTAAAAATCTCAGGAGTAAATCTGTCAGGGCCTGCTGCTCTCCCTCGTTTCAGATTTCCTATGGCTTTTTCAACTTCGTAAAGAGACGGAGGACCTACATTAACTTGCCATTCAGGTTGACTGGGGATCGTGGGAAACCGAAGTGTGGCTGAAGGCCAGTTGAACTGATCCCTTAAGTGTTCTGCCCATCAATAAGCAGCCTGTTAATCAGATCAAAGACAAAGATTTAGCAGCAAATGCCAGGAAGACACGACCAACAACCTCTCACGAGAGAATGTTTATGCTTATGTGTATGTCAGGAAGTAATGGGGCGATAGATATGTGCCCAATGATATACATGTAATGTGTAAGGGATAATCTGGTGTAGCGAATGTTTCCAAGGGAGTGGCGAACACATACCCTCCCAGGTACGTGAACATACGTATATGTATGCTATGAGATGCACGGGATAAAACCTGTTACTGGTGTGCATGTGGCGCATATTTGCTCACAGAATAGGTATACCTGTGTGTATACCAAGCAATACTCGGATGGAAGTCTGTTTTGTTCAGTATGCATGTTGATCACACCTATTCATGATAAGTAATCACTAGAAATCCTTTACTTGTTCGTATTACGCTATTCACAGTTCTTGGGTTTCAGATGTTAGGTATAAATTGTGGTCGCGTGACGAAAATCGGATAATGTTAAGTAGAACTTAACTACTCATCAAATCTCACTAAGACAAGTAGTCTTTCGCTGAAGCGAGCGGAAATTTCGCCTTCTTTTCGTGGAAGACACTTGGATAAGTAGAGATGAAATACGTACCCTTGGGACAACAATCATTTGAACTAGTAAGATCGCAAGTCGGCAGATGGTGTGGCGCATATATATTGGCGCTATGTTGTACCAATATTTATGTGTTCAAATAAATAAAGTCGGCAGATGAGATTTCGATTTATATCTCGTTAAGTGGTGGAGATATTAGCCAAGCTCACTGTTTTCCTGTACTGATGTTACATGAACACTGGCACTGAAGTCCTCTAGAATAGTGTTGAGATTAGATGACATGGAAACTGACCTTGGAACCACCAGCTATTAATTCTAGCATCTGATAGCGGTGCATACTCCCAGTGTCTGCTAAGCTGAGTACCTTGAGTGGCATACATAATCGCAGTTATGCTCATTCTTAACCTTCACCTGATTATGCTTCATACTACTTTTATATTTCGCACTCATCGGATTATCATTACAAAAATAAAACACCTTATAGTATCTTGATTCACTGCTTTCTTGGTGTCTATTAGGGCAGTGTGAAGTGGTTCTTAAAATACATTGCCAGTACATCCTTTATTTCTATGATTGCTGCCCAAAACTTAAAATTACTGATTACCCACCCACTTGACTATTCAGTACCTCAAGTAGATGAATACATGTACTGCTGAGTGTCCAACAGCATGCATGATCTACAACTAGACTCAGTAATACTTGAGCTTTTTATTATTTTCATTATAAGCATCCACACCTTAGTGAATGGTTAGGTAGCTAAAACCCTTAAACAAATCATTTCATTCCAGGTCATGTTATGCGTCTACAAAGTAGTTTAACTCCTTAACCACAATGTACTTTCTGCAGACTATGTATTTTTCTAATGATCTCGACCTTTCGACAGATTATTTCTTTTTGCCTTTTAGGACCACTAGACTCGTCGTGCCATTTACCGTAAGTATACCGCCTACAGCACTAATGTATCTTGGAACTGAACTCGGAGAGCTCAAGAAGTACAGTCAAACTCTACGTTATGTTAAAATATCTCCCGGTCCAGCACCCAGACATGATATAATTACATTGCATAGACATGGACATGCATTCGGCGGGTTACCATGGCTTTTTTGGATTAGTTTGGTTTTACTGATCGCTATTTTTCACATGTTTTTCTGTAAAATCATATACAACGAACTGCGAAATAAGAACCAGAAGTTTGAACCTCAGAATTCCTGGAAGTTACCACGATACGCGTCTGACTTGATCTCCTCAACAGACTTTGAAACTAAAGCCCTTAGAAACACTCAAATATCAAGACGAAGAATAGCTGATTTAGACACTGTCCCATGACTGGGTCATAGTGAATCTAACTATTTCTCCTCCAATTCGCTTTCTTTTATAAAAAAAAATATTTTTAGAGATAAACATTTATATACATATATGAAACAAAACTGTTTTGAACAAAGCACGCTTATTCATACTGAAAAATATAGTGTTAGAAAGTAATATTACACAGCAGATGTTTATGGTCTCCAAATTTATTTCCGAATGGATTACGGTTGGATGAGCAACACCGGATACCATAAGAGTTATCCAAGCATTACACAAAATACAACAAATTAAACCAAAAAGAATTCGTGACTTGCTTTGCGAATGATAAAAGAGAGGGGAAGTTATTAATTTAGAGTACTGTTAAATTAGTGACTGGACACTTTGGTTAGCAATGTACATTTACAACGAGTAGTTTCAAAGTACCAATACATTTCTAGGTTTTCTCTGTACATTCCAAAAGATTTCTGTACAATTATTCTACAAAACTAAAGAACAGCTGCTGCCACGCAAGCACTTGGTCGTCAAACAGGTCAATAAAAGCGTTGTTAGGCATTGAAAAGTTTATCACAGATACCCAGAGCGCTAGTAAACATAAAAGACAAACAACTACGAACAATGTAGGCAGAACAATAACCAGGCCGTGTGACAGGTTAATAGACTGAAGAAGTTCGGAATAAAGATTTTTAGTAAAAGCCAGGTTTAGCTGCCCATGAGTACGCCACTAGAAAATGCTCCGACAGCTTTAACCAGTTACAGCGTACCGGGAGTAAAGGCAAACAAAGCGAAGTTAAAGCGCCATGTGACGGGACTTGTGAAATTAAGGGATGACAAAACAATATTAGAAGGGAAAGCGGCCTGTTTAGGTGAGCTGCCGCAAATGAGCCGTGATTTACATTGAAAGAGTTGAGGCTGAAAGTCAAAAAATCGACAGAGATCTAAATTACAAAATGCAAAGAACAAATGCTAACCAGAGTTGGAATTAGAACGTCATCATATACTTAATTTAAAGGACATGTAGGAAGGGCATGATGACTTTCTGCTTACGACAGATTTTAACTACTTTTGTGACCTCCTGTCGAATCAGCAGGCGATGTGCGACCGGAATGATCGGCACTATGAACATTGTTACGAAAGATTGATGGCGCATATGAAACGTTGTGACCTGCAGAAGACTCCGAATCATGTTGAGGACTCGAACCGTTCATTTGCATCCAAGTATTAGATACACCGTTGGGACAATAATTTAGACCGTAGACAAGATTTAGAACCCGTTGGTCAATTTTCCCACCACTATGCTCCTAAACTCAGTTAGTACAAAGTAAAAGCAACATACCTCCAGAAATCTGAAGAACGTTTCACCTGTGAGCATTGCGTCACTTCCAGCTTGATGCTGTAAGCCGATACGTGGTACTCTCATTAGGTCGGCTAGCTCTTGTAATCCACTCTTGGGGAACTTGTGCTCACTCATCATTGACTTTAGATCTACAATCTTGGGAAAAAAGATCAACAACAGCTTTTGAAACTCCAAGAAGTTGTCTGGCATCCTCATCCAATCTGTACAAATCTTCATCAGATAGGCAAAATCGTAGGCACTAAATATGGCTTTAATTTAGCTCCTCGAAACCTACCTATGGAACCCTATCCACGTTATTTTGTCATTAAGCGGAAGACCACTGGTAAGAAAAGCCTCTGCGAAATCACTAAGTTCAACTCCTGTTCTTTTTAACTTGTCAAAGTCTATTCCAGAAACTTCCAATAATTGAATAGAATCGGCCGCATGCATTTCATTGTCAACATTCCACTTGATGTTAAACTGCACAGTTGAGACTGAATCGACCATCTGACCACTCTCGTCGAAAAAACTAAACCCGATCTGTATTGGTTTAAGCATGTCAATATTAACTTTAATATTGTGGTACGCTTGTTCAAAACTGTTGGCGTACTCACCAAAAACCTTTGCAACAACACCTGGAAACTCTGTATCTACCGCAACATACTGACATTCTCGTACAAGTCTACGGACAAGGCGCATTCCCTCATGAAAATTGTGGGCCCAAATATCCCAAACGCGAACCTGACTGCTATCCTGTGGAACAGTAAGGGCGGTGACATTGTTAGGATTTGAATGAACATGATGTAGTATTCCATGGTGGACGTGATTATGTGTAGTATGTCCATGACTGTGGTACGCGGATCCAGAGGTGTAACTATCAGTTGTTACTGTCATATTAGATCGGTAGTTATACTTTCCGAAATGAGGATTAACAGGTGACTCGGGAAGTGAAGTATGAAGTATATGGTTTGAATAGCCGTTTTGTGTTATAGATTGGAGTTCGCGAAATGGGTGCATTGAATAACATAAGTGACACATTCAGTTATCCTGTCTGAAAATATACACAGGAAATAAGAATCACACCAATTACGTAAAGCAATAGAATAAGATAACAAAGATAGGCAATCACATACCAAGACCGCTCATAAGAGTAAGACAATAATTCTATTCCGCACTTTGACACTTTCGCTTCCCCCCAAAAATAGAGATTAGCTTGATGAAACAAAACGAGTGTTCTAGAAAATTTTGCATTTCACTCGCTGACGTTAGTATTTATCTGTTGACTAATAATTACATAAGCAATTTTTCAATATAAATCGCAAGACTTCGATACTATTGCCGTTCAATATACAATCTTCATCTTTGCACTTTTTAAAGACAGGATAGCTTAACCATTTAAGATGCTGAGACAGTGGCGCGTGGCTCATAAACATGGTAATTACTACGACGAAAACTAAAATGTAGAAAACAAGATATCAAACTAGTCGTAGTGAACTGTGGTTCTGAATATTCAACAGATGATCCTTGTAAAATGGGTGTAGAAACCTCGTAGTAGGTGACCTGCAGTGGTAATTGAATCCTTTAAAATTAATGATTCTGTAAGTCTTTGACATTTGAAGCTAACTGTGTTAGTTTTAATGGACTCACTCAACTGAAGGCGCTCAGTGATGCTTCCGCACCACATCACGACTGGATTCGCCGTTCTACACATCTACAACCGCTAGTCGGCTTAGATTAAAAAATTACCGATATATTGATAGCCCATCAAATATGTCTTTAAACCTCTCAGCACACTCTTTATTATCTGGATAAACTTGGGAGATGGCATTATCAGTAAACTCGTCCGATTGGAATACATAATATCATAAGTTTTAGTTTAGTACACCATAAATCTCACTAGATATAGGTTAGGTAACATGTCTGTGTTAGATTCACGCTCTAATGGATGTGATGATCTTAGTCGAATTGAGTACATCCAGCCCAGGAAGTGATCACACTGTCCAGCGCCCTAAAGTCTAACAAGCGGACATTATGGTTCATCCCAATGCATAGAAGATGATGTGAATGTAACCAACCTTACGCCCTCGATCGGAGACTGAACGGTCGACTTGGAAGCATCGATTGGAGTGTTTTGAAGTCGTTTCCTAAGGTTTTTTGTCTCATTTTTCACATTATAGACTGTTTAAAAGGAGAGAAAACCTGAATATTCCTGGATACATTGTGAGATTTTCCTGCTTCATCAAAAGTTACTGGAACATTTCCAGTATTCTTGGAACAGAACAAACAGTTAAACTTTGCACGTCAATTCTAAATAAATGAATCATGATAATCTGAGAAAATCAAGCAACAGATGCAATTATTCTCAAACATCATTTACAGAACGAGAGCATGCTTATAAAGTCTAAATTCAGTTGGTGGGCGGAGTGAGTCATATATGGGAGAGAAACCAAGGCTAAACAAAAGCTGTGGCAGGTTGCTTCATGATGACGTTTGGTCATGAGCTTCTTCATAACACAAAATTGGCTTCAGAATCGAGGTCATCTAAACGCCCTCCTTTTGACTTCAACCAGGATAATGGGTTAAAGTCACTAAGACCTCCAATTAGAGAAAGAAACGGGAAAGGATGGGCCACATCCTTAGACTATTGATACAACATGTGACATATCGGTGTCCCTCGCACTGTAACGTTCTAAATGCCTGTCAGCCAATATGACGCCAGTAGGCAAGAAGGATGTGGCTACCGCTCTAGTTTCCAAGAAAGGATCATGGTAACTATCAGGATACAGACTATTAACATCACCGTTGTCGTAGTGTTAGCATTAAAGAGAATTTTAACAGCTTAAGTCGATTGGTTAAGAATTGACCTCAAACAACCAAGTTAAATGTCGAAACAATAGAGTTAAAGTATCGATGCACTTCCCTATTTTGTACAGACATTATATTTTTCTTATTCTCTTATACTGAATGTTGAAAAGCGTTGTTTGTCTGAGCAGGCAATCCCACGCTTCGCTGTGACTGGGCGAAAATATAGATGAAGGCCTATTCACTACTAGTCCGATTTCTTCTGTCAAAAGAACAAGAGTTACCGGTAGGCACGAAAGAATCGCCAGGGAGTTCGATATAACCTTCCACTTAATCAATAAAATGGCTCTCAGTAAGCAGTACGGTTCAGTGAAAACATGCCGTGCGTAGTGAACCACCTGACAACAAGATAGCGATGCATTGGGTCGTTCAATGACTAAAAATAGATGGATATTATCTACGTTTACTTCGGCAAAGCCTTTGATAATGTAATGTATTATAGGATCCTACTAAAACTAAAAAAATTAGGAGTTACTGAGTCCTTGCCAAAGTGAACCAAACGCCGTTTTGTCTGTTGATAGATGATAATAATAAATTTTGAATGTTCACCCTGGAATCTAGTTTACAGTAGAGCACAATGTAGCTCTGTCCTTTGTACTCATTTGTTTAGACTATATATGAATTGGCTACGCTCTGTCGATCGGCCTGCGATGCTACTTTTCTCTCGTGACGTCAATGTCTGGAGAGAAGTATCAAGGGATGATGATCTGTATGTCTTTCAGGCCAACGTGAACATTCTGGCGAGTCGGTTTCAATTGTGATTTATGCTCATTATTAAGATAGGGTATGTCCACAAGCATACGTGATAGGAAAATGTTAGTAACTCCAGCGCAGTTGATGAGTCAGACCCTGTGGTCTTGCACTACAATAATCTGGGTTTAGTAATGGCTCATGGCTTCAAAACCGGAGACCACTTTCGTAACATAGCAGATAAATGATATAGAGCAGTACAAGAATTAGGCTTATTTTTTCTCTGGAAGATGCCACAGGTATTTGAAGCTTAAAAACGCTTTAACCAGTAACATTTTCTAATATGAATCGTACCCACGAAGTGAAATCAAAAGACAAAAGCGAGGAGTTCGAACATTTATTTGATAGACTATCAATATATCGTGGACCATCTGATCTAGTCTGGCTAGCGATTGGAGAGGATGTTGAGCACAGAGTGCGGATGCATGGCCGAGCGCCTTCAGCTAGATGAGTTCATTAAAATTAATGTGGTTAGAATCCAATGTCGAATACGTACAGAGCTATTTATTTTATGGATTTATTTAGCGCTACAATACAAATTCCCCACACACACTGGGCAACGTGACCATTAAAAAACTCGATGTATTTGGTCTGCTAAATAAGCTCGGTATAGGCAAATCCGCGGAACCCAATAAACCACAGCCTAGGTTACTAAAGGAGTGCATTTTGATGCATTTTGTAGTCAAGGTACAGATACATAAACAATGAGGACTACTGCAGCCAAGTGACTATACTTACTTGATTAGATACAACGAAAGATAACGAACTACAACAATATATGAGGATCATATTCCTAAGAGTAAACTTGTTTATGCTGACCTGGTACAATTATTGGATATTGCAAATTCACAGCGCGTCAATACGTGCATTCGCAACTGCCGCAGCATTCGAAGTTCACTAACGTAAGTTGTGTTCGATGATCTTACGAAGCTTTAGCTCATGTTGGATTCTCACTGCACATTTTTGAAAGAAAGGACTATTTTTTGTTATTGGTGGAATGTGACTCTTGAATTCCGCTACTTTGGATTGTTATGTTTATTTTGAATATTGCAGTCAAATAGTTTTTGCCTGATAATGTGATGGCTTTTGGTTCCTGAAACCGTACGTATAATACCACAACGTAGGGTGCTAAAACATAAATCTCGTTCTATTAACAACCTTTTGTAAGAGCCGTATCTATTGCTTATATTACATCTCAGATTGACTGCTTTGCAGTTTGCAATGTTAAAGCGTAATGAGTCGTTGCCCGCCCAGATTATTAAGTGAAAATCTATCCTTTTGACAGTGAACTTTACAAAGGTCTATTTCATCACTGAAAAAATACTTGATGAGGAAAGTTGTTTACGTAGGTGAGGTGGTGGACTCAGATGGTCCACCTGGTGTAGTTGGATTACGCTAATTCTAAACCATTGGTGCACATGAGCTCGAGTACTCTGAGGAAACAAATGGTGTATAAACCAGTCGTTATTCACGGGCTACCATAGGACTGCATCCCCTTACGATGCTCCACTGTCTTGTGGGTCAGACCTTTAGGTCGAAGGCTCCGGGCGTGCCCCCCCTAAGAAAACCACTTGCTTCGATCTGGGCACCCGAGCAGTATCACAGCCCACACTCAAATCAAATGATTTGTGTGGCGTATATGGATTTGGTACCCCCTTGTATTAATGTGTGTTTAAATGAACAAATTACAGACTTAATACGGAAGAATCCACATTTATCTTTCTGCGATGTTTCTTGTATAATTATAAGTGATGTGCTAAAGAGTATTATTTGAAATTAAGTGTGGTTTCACAAGTTTTAAACTTAACTGGATAATGACGAACTTGCTGAATTTCGATTCATACTGTTTCTTCCTGTCTTGTTCTTTGTAGATCACATACTTGGCCAAGAATTTACATTCAGCTTCCGGCTTAAAAACTAATAACTCAGGGTTATTGGATTCTATCTAGTCCCTATACACGACACATGGACGAGATTATTTTTGTCAATGAACCTCCCAGTTCACTATTAAACGCTGCATTTAACGCTGTTTCCGAATACGAAAATATTTGTCCGAAACGTCTAAGTTCTTCCGAAGTTATTAAACTATATCCATTGAAGCCTTCTAGAGACGTTTGTTTTGTGCTTGCCCGTTTTGATGGTGAGTGTTACGACCATCTTCGGTCACTCGGAGTATCAATTTATGGGCCACAAGTCATTCTTCACTACGTAAGAGAGAACAAGCCGTTACCAAATCTTCCATATCCCTTGTTTTCGACGGCCCTCCTTAATGCCACTGCCACAGTTACATCTGTAACTGGAGCCCAGAGAAAGCAAATATTCGATTCAATACAAATGTTGCACGGTTCTGTGTCACGAGATTTAACAGATAACGTGAATGTCATAGTTACAGCCAAAGTTGGTTCCAAAAAATACTTGGTGGGTGC